CGACATTCAGAGTCTTCAAACAGACCATGTTCAAACAGCGGGAAGACCTAGACTTTGCTGATCACTTTGCTGTCCTGTCCCCCAAACACTCCAATCTACAGGAAAAAGCCAACGGTCTTGATATGTTTGCCTGACAAGTAGTTCTTAACATCAATACCGGCAAAAGTCAAGTGATGTGCATCAACACCACTCCCTCTGCACCGATTGTCATAAGGGGTGTTTGAGTTTGTGGATAATTTCACATAACTGTGCAGCCTCAGCCAGCAAAAAAGCTGGGTGCAAAAAGTTTCCAAAAAGAATAGCCTCAAAACTGAGATTCACTTTTAAAAGAGCAACATTAAGTCCATCCTGTTCTGTAGGTCTGGGTGCTGGCAGACATGAAGAAGGTCGAAGCTTTCCACAACGCGAGTCTTAGTAGAATACTGTATGTTGCATCTTCTGGTTGAATACAATATCCAACCACCACCTGTACGGAAGGACTGGAAGTCAAGTGTAATTACAGAAATCGCATATCGGAGACTGCAATGACTTGGCTATGTATTTAGAATGGGTAATGATCACATCCCAAAAACCGCCTTAAAATGGACACCATCAGGCAAACAAACATGGCAGTTGAGCTATCCAAGATTAGTCTCTCTTGGGAAGAGGTACATCAATCCACCAAGGATTGAAAACCCCAATTGTAATTGTAGCCTTTGTCCCACGTGGAATGAAAAGAACAAATAAGTCACTATCTAATTTTAATTTTCTTTAATACCTGTGCTTCTTTAATATTGAAATAGCATTGTTTTTCAATTTAAGAAATTTTACAAGATAACATATAAGAATGTTTATAGCTGACAAATTAGTAAAGTTTATTTTTTCAAGGATGTATTACTGTAATACCCTACCTACTGTATATGTGGCATTCAGTCCCTAACACTACAATGTAGTGATAGTATGTTCAGAAGACTGATTAGGTCACACACAAGTGGTTATATCATTCCTGTCTTGGCATCCTTGCACTGGCTCCTTTCAGGATTAGAGTAAATTCTTCTGCTTACATTCAAGGCTCTATATGGATTGGCTGGATTGGCTCTAACTAGGCAATATGCTATCTGTTTCCTCCCTGTCGTACTGTACGGTCTTCACTTAGACTGGACTATTACCCAAAGCTCAGGGCCATCGTCTAAAAAGAAAACTGAGACTCAGTCACATTGAGTACACTCAAATCTAGGCTTTCTAAAAAATACTGTTTTAAGATAGTTTTTTCTTCTGTTTCTGCTTTTTTCAGCATTATAATATTTATTTAAGTAACATTATTATTATTATTATTATAAGGATTATTAAATACTAGCATGGATTGAATCTGGATTGAAATACTAGCATGGATTTCAATGGCTTTCAATGGCTTTTACGTGTACGTGAGATCCTCATAAGTGCATGCCCCATGGGCATCTTCGTTTTTCACAGAGAATGAGATGAAAACCTACAATAAGAACATCCGTCCATCCATTTTCCAACTGCTTCTGCCAATTCAGAGTCATGTGGGAACCATAACTTATCCCAGAAAGCAACAGGCACAGGTGGGCAGGACAACAGTCCATCTCAGAGCAGACACACAGACACAGACATGCACACACTGTCACCAGGGCCAATATTCCCAGAACCCAGTTACCTTCCAGTGTGTTTTTGGACGGTGGGAGGAAACCAGAACAGACAGAGGAAACCCACACAAACAGGGGAAGAACAGAGAAACTCCAAGCAGATAGTACCCCAGGTGCAGCATCGAACCCAGAGCACCAGCACTGAGAAACAGCACATTCTTAATGATAGATTCTTAATTCTACAGAGGTAGCACAACAGTTACATTGAAAAGAAAATTGCATGTTAAAGTTTCTTGAAAAATTATTATCCATTGTGCCAAGATATTTACTCTATCTACAAAGGTGAAAACTATAACTGTCTTTTCTCAAAAGAAATATCTCTACAGCCTTAGAAAACAACTGCCCAGTTTGTTTAATCCAGTCTTCTCTCATTTTGAGATCCATGTGTTCGCAGAACAAAAGGCAATTGTGTGTCTGATATTTGTGACAGCTTTTTCCTTGACCCAATACTGGTAACGTTTTGACATGAAAAGGTATGGATGAGTACTGTAGGTAAAATTCATCGTATAGCCTATTAGATGTTATCTGTGAAGTGAGCACATAAAGATCAAAAGGTACTGAGCCACCATGTCTCATGCTGAATGGCCATACAGGAAAGAGCTGCTGGTTTCTATTTGAACCTGTTCTTTTCTATAACTGTGTAATAACCAAACTGCAAGGCCCACTGGCTTTCTCACCCTCAACACCTGAAACGGGCTTTTTTTTCAATTTATTTAATGATTTCAGTATGTGTGCCGTATTTCAATTGTGCTGAAATGTGCAATTTAAACCCATTTAGTTCAAGATGAATCTCTGTATGAGTCTTGGTCTGTGCCTCATCTTTATCATTATTGGGAAATACAGTAATCTGGCTTTCCTAATATTGCAACACCATTTCATGTTTTAATTGCCGACAGCTGGGAAAAGCATACTGGGTACTTCAGATACACACTCCAAGAGAAGAAAATCAGTTCTCCTGTACCCCCCTCCCCCCCCCCTCCTACAACAAAACTGCATCTTCACAGTTTCAAAGACACGGTACTTATGCTAATTTCAAATGCATCGCAACAGAAGAATTGCTCGGCTGAAATAGTGCTAATTAGGACAAAGCAAGTGTTATGCATTAGAATGACTCTAACAGTTATGCACTTAGCTCATTAAGCCCATTTTGCTGTAGCCTCTGTTCAGACAATGCATTCTAAATGTTGTCTCACCCAGTTCCTCTCTCTCTCCTCCTGCACCTGCTCTGTCTTCCCTCAGGGGTAATAGGCTGTCACCCAGCCTCAGTAACCTTTCACCTCTCGGGGCCTCAATAAAGTCAAGACCTATCTACACGTAAACTTACATAAAATCCTTTTCTTCACCATGGCACAACCTGTGGCCCATTCTGTATATGGGTGGTCATTGTGTTCTTTGTTTTACTCATACTTGCAAATACTGTAAAATAACGTTGGGACGAGCTAATCTGACTGAACATGCTCAAATGTCACCATTTTCATTAAAGACCAAGACATTATGAATAATCCTCACTGTGATATCAGGAACATGGGATATAGTGAAGAAAACATTTTATTAGATAAGCACTTTAAAAATGATAATGTGTTTCAGTTTTTTCATTTGAAATCATGATTCCATTATGGAACAGTAAGCAGTAAATGGCAGCTGTTTTGTATTACACACCTAATTTAGCAGGTACAGAGATCCAATCACTTTCTTTCCATATGTACAAAAGAGCAACATCTAATTATCTCTCTCTCATCTCTATGTCTCCAAGGATCTCTTTCTTTCTTTGTCTAACTGCCTTGATTTGCTCTCTGTACCCCATTCTCATTCCCCATGAATTCTGTGCTACGGCGTGTCTATAACCCATCTGCTGTCTTATCTCAGATCCAACACCATGATGAATGAATGATCAATTCTATTGTATATCACATCCAGGCCACCTAACATCCCAATATCTAGGGCTAAACACACTTTAACTAAAGTACATTAAATATTAAATGAATATCCCAACATTTAAATGTTGGAGAACATGCTGATATATTTCCATCAAGTGCAAGGGCTTAATAATACCAGTGACTTGCTCAGACTTGCTTTCTCTCTTCCTTTGTATTGCATAGCTCAGAAAAATAAAATAAAGTTTAGAGAATGCCAGTTTAGACTGATGTTTAGAGGCAGAAGTATCATTGTATATCTTGTTTAGATATACTGCACATGCATACAAATGAGCCAGCAAAACCTACATAATCACAAATTGTTGCATGCAGAGAAATGTAGAATCATTCATAAAATTGTCACTTATCTTTTCCAAAAATTTGTAGTTCAGCAGTAGTGTTCTGTGCTGTATGGACTAGAGATTTGTCCAGCAATAAAATATTTTTTCCACTCTATGCTGTTTCGCAATTGGGAATTTTGAGTTGCCAATTTTCAGTGCATAGTGATAGAATGAAATAGTGCATATGGTAATAATATGCACTGATTGCACAATGCCAATTCTAGAACTAAAAGTTATAATAATTTTAAAGACAGTTATTGTTGTGCTTAGTATGGAGGGTTAATGAGCCAGAGTCAGAAGCCAGTATGAAAAAGATCCACTGTCACTATAGATTCCTGTTTCTTACGAAAAAGGTTTGTTTGATAAGGCTGATGATTCTTTCATCATGCACTGCACCAACTCATACAAAACAAATCTGGCCTTTGTGTACCATGATACATCTGACACACTGAGCAAAGTGGAGCAGATTTTGTCCACCTCTTTTAAAGCCATCAGATGGGGAAATGGGGGAAATGATGGCTTGTATTAGACCATTTAATATGTAGTCATCTAACAGAACTGTCAAGCATCTAAAGCTCTTCCTATACTACAGTACTTACTACATTTTAGATCTGCCCCTGACAGGATGAAGGAGACAGGGTAATAACCTTCCTGATCTTAACATGTTTCAGTGGCTGTCATGATACATTGTAACAAGTAAAGATTTATGCCTGCTGAAAAGAGAAGAAAAGAAACACAACGTTTCGGCTGTGGAGCCTTCTTCGGGTGTGAAATTAATAACCTGGATGTCTTAGAATGTAATCATTTTTTTCAGTTTTTCTTTGAATTCAGTTTCAAGTAAGACACATTTAAAATGACAGAAATTACAGTCTGCAGCCATGCCGTGTTTGCAGAAAAGGGTTTTATCCATTCATAATAAATCATACAAGAGTAAGATCTCAATGGTTTTTATATTCAGCGCCTCCGATATTTTGAAACATTCATAGCATTTTTTTTTATAAAGCCTATTAATAGAAAATGAGAAATATCGAAATGAACAGCATTAGGTGAAGAAGAACCGTGTTTAAAATATAACGATAGATAAGAGTCTAGCTGGCAGAATCGGGGAGCAGGTGTGAGGATGTGTTGAACAGCGTATGCGCGACTCATCCTTCCTCCCGGAGATGATGACTGACAGATTGTACCGCCGGAGCGGTGGTTTTTAGTCACTTTCACCAGCAACAAAGCCGCAGCAGCAGTACTGACGTAAACCTTCCAGCACACACCACATTGTGAGCATAAGGCATCAGGACAGGGAGTCACTGAAACTGTAACAGAAAATTACCTGCAAAGCGATGGAAAATGACCGCATCGCAAGACTGATGGTGTCGGCGAGATTCAGTCTCTTGTTTCGCGTTCTTTAATCTTTGAGGAGCCAGTAAGTTATGTTGTGAAATGAAATGGGTTTTGAAGGGATTGTTATGACAAGAGTTGCTGCAGGGTGCCGCATCGCCTGGCCGCTTGATGGTAGGATAGTGTAATGCTTTTTTGGTGATTGTGGTGTTTGGGTCTCTGGGGTGGGGATGAAAAGAAAAGGGGCTTTTTGATTGCGTTATGTCAGGGTGGGATCTAGGATCTATTCTCTAAATCTCTTTTTTAAAACAAACACCGCATGCTGGCATCCACGGCTATGAAGCTATTCATTTTTAATGGATCGTTAGGACTTAGCTGAAATAAATCTCCGTAAAATCGGAATGTATGAGATTAGAAAGAAATATTACTGTGACGTTGTCTAAAACGGGGATTAATGTTTAAAAATGTGCACATGCCTCATTTTAAAACCAAGTGTGCATTTGCAAACTACGCGCTAAAGAATTTTTAAATACCTGACGCATTTGTTGCTAGGGTCTCTTCTTATCATTTTTAACGACTGGTGGTGAACGCTAAAACATAATACGCCAAAATGACTCATTTGCAAGCGGGTTTGTCCCCCGAAACGCTCGAGAAAGCCAAGGTGGAACTGAAGGAAAATCCAGACACTTTGCATCAGGATATCCAGGAGGTGAGGGATATGATTATCACCCGCCCAGACATCGGCTTTCTCAGGACAGACGACGGATTCATACTGCGATTCCTCAGAGCGAGGAAATTTAACCACTTCGAAGCTTTCAGATTGCTGGCTCAGTATTTTGAATACCGCCAACAGAATCTGGATATGTTTAAAAACTTCAAAGCGACAGACCCAGGCATCAAACAGGCTCTGAAAGACGGCTTTCCTGGAGTCCTGTCCAATTTGGACCGCTACGGCAGGAAGATAATGGTTCTCTTCGCCGCAAACTGGGACCAGAGCAGGTAATCCGTTTGTGCTCTAATTTTAATTAATATAGTTGTTTTTGTATGGGAAATGTACTGTTTTTAGTCTGCAACTGTATTTTAATAATATTCGGAGCTGTTCTTTCAGTACTGCAAATCTGAATTCTGTTGCCATAGCCTGAATTCTATAGATGCACGTGTGTCCTACAGTAGCTTTACCGCTTCAAGGACTAATGTATCAATATCTAATTTATTTAATGGTAATATGTAGAAGTTCAACAAAATTCTGTGTAAATTATTGTGTACAAACAGAAAGTAGTGTAAGTTTAATTAACATTATCTAACCCAGTGCACAACATAGTTTTCGAATCTTTTATCATTACTGATTATGTGTTTGAAGATCAATACCACATGTATTGTGATACGAAGGAGATAAGAAGTGTAAGCCTAATAACTCCGAACTCCATGTCATAAAATTCAGACTATTTTCCCCCCGCAGTCAAAATCAAAATATTTTTTCTGCTTCCTATCTTATACAGTACAACTAGATGTGAAATGTCAACTCAATAGACCAAAAGGCACTTAATGCCTTTTAATACTCTACGTTTACTTATAGACAAATGAAAATTAACATCTTGTTAATGGTACTGTATTCCATTCACATATTCAGTATATCTTTTGCAATGTTGATTATTTCTGTTTCTACTATTAAAAATATTAGTTATTAATAATAACAAATCCACTTACATATACAGCACTTACAGTAAAGTACTGTATATGTATATGTATATGTATATGTATATGTATACAGTATGTACAGTATATGTCAAACTGTAAAGGTCCATTAGCTCAATGTCATCTTATCTTCTTGTTAGTTAAGGAGTCATCTTGTACATCTATTTAGGCTACACAGTCCTGAAAAGTGGGTCAACACAGGCTTCCCCACTGTTTGTTCACAAGATATCAGGGCAGGGGTCTCTGGGGAACTGCCAGTCTACCTGAATGTGCTGGCACCACCACCTGTCTGAGCAGAGATCACCTGGACCAGACGTCTTTTCTGAAGGAAGAACCACTTACTAATGACTTAGGGCTAATGAATGAATAACTGTAGTTTAATACACACTATTAAATAAACTAGGTGAATGAGGTGCAAAGGATGACGTTTCAAACCAAGGTGCTATAAAGACTGTGTAGGCCACTCAAGACAGATGAAAACTCACCTGACACTAAAATGCCACAAACAAATGATGAATAAATATTTTAACAACGATGCATCTTATACTGTACTCTGTTGATTCATTTTCCTTGATAGACAAAACAAATAATGTCATCCTTTTTATAAAGAAGCAGTGACTGCCTCATTTCTCATCTGACAGAGTATGTGGCGTTCCTCAGAAGTAATTTTAAGAAGAGGTTTTAATAGATTTTGGACCTACTTAAACAGGTCAGTCATGACAAAATACCTATTGTGTCAAGGAGACACACCAGAAATAGCACTGTTATGGCAATACTATATTTTAGAGTCCTTAATATACCAGAATCACAGTTGGTTTTTATTTCAAAACTCATGATGTACTGATGGAGGTACATTTAATCAAAGTCCTGGTACAGTATCTATAGTAGTTTGCAAAGGAAAACGTAATAGGTTTATTCCATGCTGAAAAGAGAAGGAAGAAAACACAACGTTTTGGCCGTGGAGCCTTCTTTAGGTGTGTGACTTCCTCACAAGGGGTGGAAGCCCCGAATGATTTCTGCTTTCAAAGAGTGTAAGGAAGAAAAAAACTCCGATTTTTAAACATTTTAAAATAACAAAAAATAAGGCCTGATTTACATTTACAGTAATTTATTTTAATCGGTTTATTCTTAGTCTCAGGAGGACTGTTTTTTTAAAAAATGCATTTGATTAAAATTAAAGATTGGCATTTGTTTTAATCCACCCAGCGATTCGTCCCTTAGCCATCAGCGGTGTTCCTGGGGAGCCAGAGCCTGTCCTGGCAAACATCAGGCACAAGGCAGGATATTCCATTGGACTCAAACAAGAGAAGGAGAGTAGATGATCACTCCAGGGCTAAATGACCTACAGCACCAGCATGGCTTTGAATTGTGGGAGAAAACCACAGCACCCAGAGGAACTCCATGCAAACACACAAAGTCCACACATACTGTACTGTACAGGTCCGGGGCTCCAGCGCTGCAAGAGAGCAATGCTAACCACTGGGACACCATGCCGCCCTCAGCTAGCAATTCCAAAAACATCATAGACAAGCTGCATTATTCAGCTGTTTGCCATTTCTGTAAACAAAATACTTCACCACTGTGCAGCTGTTCCCCCCTGCGTTTATTTTAAGATTTTATTAAAACATTCTCCATTAAATTCAAAGTAAAAAAATACAGTAAATATTATAATAATCTGTAATAAAAATAAAATCAGTGTCATCATTAATAATAGTAAATCACGTTATTAAATATAGAGCCAAGTTTCAAAACTGTAGAATTCTTTAACTGTAATATGAAATTCAATGATATCTTACAGGACAGACAGATAGCAAAAGCAGAATTAGCATGAAACAGCAACTTATCTTGTTTGGAGGTCTGCCATTCTGTGATAGATCATATCTGAAGAAAGCTAGCGCAGGAGCCCTGATCAGATAATGCTGTAATTGGAATGAAATGTTTTTGAAATGAACCGTACGGTGATGCAGCAGTTAGCACTGCAATCTAACAGCTCTTCACTCCTGAGCTTGATTCTGTGAGTCTCAGTGCTATAAAGGGTTTTCACTGGGCACTCTGGTTTCCCATCACTGCAGGCTAGGTGAACTGGGGTCTGCATTCTCTCTTTTTATGGGCTGTGATGGATGTAGGACAGATCTGCACCCAAAGGTTCCATGACAGTACATGTGTTGATTTAATTTAACATGACAAGTAAATTAAATCAACAAGCAGGCAATGGTGAACACGCTAGGAGTTTGAGCAACCACTATTGGAAGCAGGTCAAGCATGAGATTTGCGACACCTGCTCTGCGCCAGGTTGCACCCTCTGTCCTGTGGGTCACAGTCCTCTCTGAGAGGCTGGACAAGCATGTGCCTGTCCACTGGTCTCTTAGCCCATCAGATATGGTTCTCAGCATAACTGACTCATATTCATCTTGCAAGAAACCGGTCTTCACATGAGCATCATGAGAGTCCTGCTAGAATGTTGTCTAATCAAAATGAGCCCTTCATCACTGTACTCCTGTGCAGTCAGGTCTCCACCATCCGCTACTAGCAGGTAGACCCTACTGTCTGGACCATCACACTTTGACTTCCCCACTCATTGGTCCATTGCACATAGCAAATATATAGTTATGAATAGTTCAGTACATCTATAGCACACTGGCTGTTTGTCAGGGCAGTCAACACAAACCAAGGGCTTATCACTTAGGAGGAATTTGAGTTCACTACAGACAACTCCATCTCAGGTGACTTAGTCCAAACTCCAATATACCAGTGGCCTAAAGACACAGTTGTCTCACAGTTCGCAACTGGGACGAATTAGTTATTTTTGGTATTTTTGATTTTCACCATTTTAAAGCAAGAAATTCTGGAATGAGAACATCTAAATCAATAAACAGTAGCATAGTGGCAGATAATACACTAAGTGGTCTAATAACAAGATCAGATTTGAGCTGAATGCTTTTGTTTATGACAGTGGAAATTATCACAGTTGAATATATTTCTGTGTATTTTACATTAATGTGATGTTTTCTACAGTGGCTGCAAAGGAAAATGAAGAAAAATTGAGAAAAGAATCAGCTCATTTGAACAGCTTTTAATGTATAGTGTGTGCACACGGCAGCTTGGTAGTGCAGTGGTTAGCACTGCTGCCCTGGGGCCCTGGGATCAGTGCTGCACACATGCAGGGCAACAGTCAAGGTTCTTCTCTGTGTCAGGCTGCCTTCACTCATGTCCTGTTCAGGGAGTATCCCACCTTGCACCTGTTGCTTGCTGGCATAGGATCTGACTCCCCCTTGATCCTGTATTTGATAAAGCAGTTAGAAAATGGATGTTTGTACACACACCAACATTTTAAAATGCACATTTACAATTAACATGTTTTCACAGTTATCAGGCCAAACAAGTGCTGCCCTCGTGGGGGAATTCAGGTGATGTTTTTTAATTATTTTAAAACCTGAGCTTTTGATTATTTATAATAACGGCGTCTTTAATGCTGTTCCTCCTGAGCGTTTAATATAGGTTCTTAGTGGAGTTAGTAAACTGTTATTACCCGTTTACAGGTATACGTTTGTGGATATTTTGCGAGCCATCCTGTTATCACTGGAAGCCATGATTGAAGATCCAGAGCTGCAGGTGAACGGATTTGTGCTGATCATTGACTGGAGCAACTTCACCTTTAAGCAAGCCTCAAAGCTAACGCCAAGCATGCTGCGACTTGCAATAGAGGGCCTTCAGGTAAGGGTTTTATTTGTCCAGAGGAATAATTGAGCCCAGCAGCTCAGCGACTGAGACCACATGACTCCCACCTGAGTGGGAGGCTAGTCTGTTCCCTGATTACCTCCAGCAATGCTGGCATCCATTCTTGCAGCAGGGGATTGGAGCCGTCAGGGTGAAATACTTCTCAAGAGCGCGGCCGCAGTGGCTGGCAGATGACTACAGCCCCCACACCTGTAGTCTTGAGTCAGGAGCCCTACCCCTACTTCTTGTGTTAAAACTAAACGAGACAGTCTTGCTTAATAAGACATTTAATGTTATGGACCAAATTTGCAGTTATCGGTTTTCTGATTGACATTTTCTGGGTTTAACGTGAAATAAATTGTCCCTTTACACTGAGTATCTAGTGAGACTGGGTTCAGTTGTTAATAATAGAATCATTTCCTGAAAAAAAATTTAATGAACAATAGCCGAGCGGAAAGCTCCTGATTTTCAGATCCATGACTTGCCATTTGCCTGGCTCACATTCGACAGAAGTACACTGTTTTGGCCCTATATGTTACGTACTGTACATTATTTATTTAAAAAATCAGGTCTATTGAATTTTTTCTTGACTTCTGTCAGTCAAGTATTACAACAGAGTGTGAACAATGGCAGGTTATTATAAAGAGTATACTTTCAGATTTCCTGTGTGATTAGTAATAACTAATACTATAGTATTCAACTCTTCTCATCATGCAGCAGGCATTCATCTTTCTAACCCCTGCTAGATAATTGCAGTAATCTCATTGTTTCACCCACATAATGCCCTTCTCCTAGCTTCTTTTATACGTAGTATTTTAACAGTGATTGTGGGCAGCTATCTTTGCAACTAGTTCTAAGGCCTAATTTTAATATTATATGCTGATATTACAGCACATTCATGACATCATCAGGTCTGTAAGGAAATAACAACTCATGCTGCAATCACAGCCATTTTAACAGATTATTCTCCAAATAAATTGTACTTCCTTATCTATTTGTTGAAGAAATCATTCCAGGAGAGCTGCTATCATAACAACCTGGAATCTGACCACTTGAACAGGGTGTATTTCCATTTTTGTGGCTAAGGTTTGTTACATAAATGTTTAATTTAAACACTGATTGTTTATACATTTAAGCTTTAAGTGGTATACAGTATCTAAGGTATAGAATACAGGACAGATAATATGCCACTTTGTTCACTTAAATGCCTAGCTGATATACTATACCAGTTTTTTTTACAAGTAGATAGTGGTGTGTGCAACATGTGAAAAAAGTTTCTTTAAAAAGCTTCCTAGCATGGTGGCGCAGTATTTAGCATTGCTGCATTGCAGTGTTGGGGCCCTGTGTCCAATTCCCAGAGTATTATCTGTGGGGCATGTATGTTCTCCCTGTGTTCACGTGTGTTTCTGCTGGGTGATCCTGTTCCCTTCAGTCCAAAAACATGCTGGTAAGTTAATTGGTTCGAAGAAATTTGGAAATCGTGTGCATGTCTGTGTTTGTGTGTGTCAGGACTGGACTGGCATCACGTGCAGAGTGACCCTGCCTTGCCCTCTTTGCTTGCTGGGTTAGGCTCCAGCTTTCCCACCACCCCGTACTAGATGAAGCAGGTAGGAAATGGATGCATGTCCACAACAGAAAATATTTTGGCATGTGTGGCCTAATACAAATGCCCCTATACAGCAGGACACCAAGCACAATCTGGACCAGACAAAAGCACAGAACTATGTGTAACCTGTGTATGCTTGTCCAAACACAGAGGTAGTTTTAGGCAGCTTTCCAGGGCAGGTGTATTGTGGGAGAACACAATAATTATACCGTGTGTGGTGGTACACAATATTGTGGTCAAGATATTGACAATAGCTCGCCTTTGTGTCTGAAACATTTTCCCTGTGTCTAGGTTGCAAGGATCTGTGTATAAAATGTATAAACTATGCTATATTCCAACAAATGTACAATTCTTGCAACAGCAAATCACCCTGTAGAAAAATAATAGTATAGTATAGAGTATAGTGGGCGTGTTTTAGTATGTTCCAAATTTATCAATCCTTAGAGAAAGGTAAAGTAGTGATGTAAGATCTTTGTGAACTTCTTCATTGAAACACCATTGGCAACAATTCTGAAGATAAGCCTGTTCCCAGTGAACCAATGATTTCAGGATTATGCTAAAAAACTGAAAGTTATATGAGATATGCTTCACAGCCAAATGGTAAATGAGTTGTGAACTTCAAGAGCTTCATACTTCATACTTTGTTCAAGATCCCATTTAGAAAGTAGTGGCCCTATAAGCCTGTCCTGTTGGAGTCATTTCTTAATTAAAAAAACAAATTCCTCACCAATAAAATAGAAATCCATTCTCTGCTGTTTGGAGACAGAGGACAGATACAAGATTGACCCTAGAAGCCTCTGTTTGGACATCTGGCCAATTGTCCTTTGCCAACCAGTCAGGTGACTGAGGGCTGCAGGTCATTTCCCATAGCATTCTGGGGAATGTGGTTCAGATAGGTTTCTCCATCTTGTCTGAGCCTCTCACAGCTATAAATAAATCAGTGAGTGTACTGTGTGGTGCAAGATGCACAAAAGGAGTGGCAGTGCTATTACCTTGTATGACTGTGTCAGACCTAAAAAGCTAAATAAGGTTGGACCTGGTCAGTATGAGTTTGACCTTCATGAAAAGCCAGATTGTTAGTGTTAATGGACCAAACGCTCACGATTTTCCCTCTAGACTAGTATTTCTAGTTTAATTCTTCAGTATGCTGACTGGGGACACTGCTGTAGGAGATGCAATCCTTCAAATCCTACGTCGAACCAAGGTCCTGGCTGCATGGTTGTTAAAGATAGCATTGCACTATTTTTAGGAGTGCCAGAGCTGATGTGCCCAATCTGGCCTACAGTACCTAACATATCCCGTTAATTCCTTCAGTGAAGTGATTTCCCACTCTGCCTCCTGATCTGTTGTGCAGTGGTGATGCTGGCGCTGGAAGGCAGCTGCAGGCCTCTCCAGTGGGGCTGCTCCTATATTAAACCATTCTCAGATCCTTTGAGATTAACTATAAATGCAAGGAAATGTGAATATTAATTATTAACATATTTTTCTCATTAGTTTGATTAGATCCTTATAAATACAAGAGAGAGACGAGATATGCAGAGTGTTCTCTGCAGATGTTCTGGCGCGGGAATTACGTAGGTGAACTGAAGTGTGTGGGATTAAGATTCAACCTTCCTCCCGAATTTCTGTTCTGAACCCCATAAAGTATACATTTATTTTCTACAGCAGTGAACTTTAATTTTTTGGGGCTGTCGCTTTTATTCAAAGTGATGGTCATTTGTACCTGACTGCACAGTGGGGCAATTTATGGAAGTAACTACGTAACGCACCTTTCTTAAGGGAATGAAAGCAGAGCCCCACCTGGGATTGGTTTTGAATCGACAGCCTTCCAATTCCGAGTCCAGAGCCTAACTAAAAATTCATACCTTTGTCTTTCCGGGTTCCTGTACGTGTTTTTAATGCCTGCCAGCTCTCGGTAATGATTAACACATTGAACAACCGTACACTTGCTTCCTCCCACCCTGCACTCAGTTTCCCTAGCAACATGTCAAGCCTGCATTCCATTCAGGCCCTACCGACTGTGGGGAACATCACTCACATCATCAATTTAGGTCACAGAAATAACTCTTTGGATAGATAGATTTGCTTTTTAAAATACATTTATTCAGAAGATCATCTGCAGTATTGCTGCATATTAATTAATCCCAGGACATAGTGTATGAAAAATGGACCCTAGTAAGCTACATGCCTGGATATTTAAATAGAAAGGGATCAAAAATTGTTGTTTCACAAATGTTTGTAATTTTTTTGTTTTATTGAATTATGTCATTTAAACAGGAAAGCTTAACACAGGGTACTTATTAGATCCAATAGGTAGCTGTGTCAACATGCATAGGCTGCAAAGGAACAAGTAAAGGTTTATTCCATGCTGAAAACAGAAGAAAGAAAACACAATGTTTCGTCTGGGGAGCCTTCTTCAGCCTTCTTCAGGATCCTTCTTCACCTTAAGAAGGCTCCATGGCCGAAACGTTGTGTTTCCTTTCTTCTCTTTTCAGCATGGAATAAACCTTTACTTGTATTTATTAGATGATTGTCGCTTAGTGGAAACGACTGCAATGAACCATTCTGAGAGTGTGTGTAGAGCTGGAAGAGTGTGCAGAATGATCAGAACTAGTCCTGTTAACATGTGCTGCAATTCAAGTTGGGAAGATGGGGGTGGAGGAGTCTGCAGTTTCCTTGGAACTGAATTTTGGTCTGGAATTGTCACCCTCTGATCTTTGTGTCAATTATCTTGCTGAATCCAGTTAATCCTTAACTAAACACACTGTGTGGTTTTGAACACAAAGGGAGTGTTTGATAGATGTGTTCTGACTACATAGTCCATTCATGGCTAATTATCTAAAACCAAACCAGTATTACAAACAAACGCTATAGATTTCTTGAAGGTGTCAATTCATTTGTCATCATTAAGAAGAACAACTATAATTCAAAATAATTCCTTTTTAATTCTGTAAGTTCTGTTTTTAAGTAAGCAGTACAAAGTTTATCCAATTCTAAAGTAAGTTCAGCCTACATGTCATCCCTTCTAACCTTGATTTCATGTTTTTTCATTATAGTATCTTCGCAAACAGTTAGTGCAGTCTCTCACTCCAGTAACAGGAATATTTTCTTCTGATTCTTTACTGTGCAGGATTTTGGTTTCACCTTCAAAAGCAGTTTTCTCAGTGCAAACATTCACATCAGCAAGATTTTGAATTTTTGCCCATCACTAATTGCAACACATCATCAGAAACACCATCCAAACATACTGATTTATACTGTAGGTACTATTACAGCAAATCAGTTTTGTTTCATTTGTACTTGTACCAGACATGATCAACTAACAAGTTTAATAATAATAATAATAATAATAATAATAATAATAATAATAATAATAATAATAATAATAATT